TATATAGCGCCAACAGTTTGTGCAGTGCTTTACAATATAAGGAAGACATTACAATTAGAATTAAATTCAAGACAAGATGATAAGGAGATCATGGATAATTTGTAGTGACTCATGCAAAGTACACCCGAACAGTATTTAAGCATTTTACTAAACCACATCTTGACCATGAGAGACAACTGCCAGACAACAGTGGGGGGGGGTAGCAGCAGCAGCAGCAGGGGATTTGTCCAACAAATTAGAAGCCAGAGAGTGATGAGCAAAGGGGGAAAGATGACAGGTTTTACCAGCCTCATCTCCAACATGTTTCAATTTAAAAATTACCTGGTGGCATGAGATGTTAAGTTGGAAGATGGAAGAGGTAGATCTAGGGGGACCAGGCCTTGTTAAATTTAATTGAGCATCCCCTGCTGTCATATGTAACCGTATATAGGGATAAAGCATCATGAACCAAAGACATCCAGCAGTTTATACTTAGAGGAGTAGAGGATTTCCACTTCAGAACAATGGCTTTATGGACATAGAGCAACAGTAGTCTCAGTTCGATTTTAGTGGCTTTCTGCTCTGCCAAGCAAAGCAGGAAGACTCTTGGGAGTTGCAGAACATAGAGAGCAGCTAAAAAAGAGATGTGGTCTAAGACCTGTGTCCTGTATAATTTTTTTGTACAGTTCCAGAGGTGCATAAAATTGGCAGATGAGTAAGAACACCTCCAGCACTGTGTGGACAAGGAGACATAGATGCTGCCCAGCCTAGCAGTGGACATAAAGTCAGATATATTATTGGTAATATGGATGCCTAAGTATTTACAGTAGAACATCGGGCATAAAAAAACCTAACCCCTGCATTGGAGCTACCCCCACAGTGCAAGGGTTAAGTGCTAGTTTTGTCGAGAAAGGTAAAATAACAACTACTGTATACTTACCTGAAACTAAGACCCCCGCTGGCATGCCCTCTATCCCACGTAACATCACCCAAGCTTTAGAACTCCCAATCACAGAAGTGGAACTGGAGGAGGCCATAAAACAAACAAACACACAGGAAAGGCTCCCGGCCCTGACGGGTTTACCCTACAGTACTATAAAAGATACGCCCCTATTCTCAATTCTCATTTTGTTAAGGCCTTGAACTCGGTCCAACGAGGTGGCGGTTTGCCCGCAGACTCTCTCTCTGCCCATATGGCCGTAATCCCGAAACCGGGCAAGGACCCTTTGACTTGTTCGAGCTACCGTCCGATCTCGCTGTTAAATGTAGACACTAAGCTATTCGCCAAAATCCTAGCACTGCGCCTTCTTCCCTCCATAACAGCATTGATACACCCTGATCAGACAGGTTTTGTCCCATCCCAAGAGGCTAGGGATAACACCACGAGAGCCCTCTTCCTCATCCACTCTGCCGTGTCCAAAGCGACGCCAGCACTTTTATTGTCCACAGACGCGGAGAAGGCTTTTGATAGGGTAGACTGGTCCTTCATGAGCGCCACCCTGGAACACCTGGGCCTGGGTCCCCACATGATGTCATGGGTTATGTCCCTATACTCTCGCCCATCGGCTAGAGTTCAAGTGAACTGGTGTCTGTCGGAGTCGTCTAATATTTCACACGCCAGGGTTGCCCCTTATCCCCCCTGATCTTTATTATCACATTGGAACCCCTACTGAGGAGGATTAGGTCCAACCCGGACATTCACGGCCTAGAAGTAGGAGACCAATCCCACAAGGTAGCCGCATACGCTGACGACCTACTTTTCTTCCTGACATCCCCAGATGTCTCCCTACCAAACCTCCTAGCGGAACTTTCCGCGTATGGAGAGTTGTCCAACTACCATATTAATGGCCAAAAATCAGAAGCGTTAAACCTGACATTACCTCCTCCCCATGTACTCCAACTACAGAGTAATTTTCCATTTGCATGGTCGACGACCTCACTTAAGTACCTGGGAGTTCAGCTCCCTCGAGACTTGACTGAGACCTACTCCTTGAATTTTCTGCCCCTCTTACATCGTATAAAGGTAGATCTCCAGGACTGGGCCCGTTTAGCATTCTCATGGACAGGTGGATGTAACGTCGTCAAGCAAAACATACTGCCCAGATTGTTATACTCGGCCTAGTCCCCAGGGGATTCTGGAAATCGGTACAATCCCTGATCACAAAATATATCTGGGTTTCTAAGCCGACTAGAATACGACACTCCATCCTTCGTCTACCTAAGAGATATGGGGGGTTGGCTGTCCCGTATGTTCACTACTATTACACTGCGGCTCACCTGACACGCACCCTCGACTGGTGTTGGCATGCTGCCCTGAAACCATGGGTTGCCCTCAAACAAAGTTTCTCTCACATCCCCTTTCAGACACTCCCATGGTGCCACAACGTCCCTTCTTCAATCCGGGCTCACCCGACGATGGGCCAGACGTGGAAGATAGCAAGGGCAGTTTTTTACTCACGACAGATCTCGCCGGGTCCCTCCCCACTTCTCCCGGCTATAGGATCCCCGGATTTTACCCCGGGACTCTGGATTTAAGCAGTTACGCGACCAGGGACACTATAGAGCTGTAAACTTCCTCCGGGGCCACGTTTGGCCCTCCGTCTCGTCCCTCTCCGAGGATCCTATACTATCCCCACTGGGATTCTGGCGCCACCGCCAATTGGCACATTTCTTGCGGGCGTTGCCACCCCCGACAGCTATCTCCTGACCCCTCACGGGCTTCGAGAGGGAATGCAACGACAATGGCACGCTTAAAAAAGCTTTGTCATTATGTTATCAATGGCTTCTAGCTCCCGATTTTGATTCGCCTTTGCCATACATAGAGGATTGGGAGAGGGAGTTGGGGATTTCCTTCTCACCATACGAGAAAACTAGATTCCTATCACTATCCTTGAAGTCTTCCATCAGCAGTAGATACCAGGAATCGGGATACAAAATTCTGGCCAGATGGTACCGCACCCCTAAGAAGTTACAGACGATTTTCCCCAAGACAGATGGTTGCTGCTGGAGGTGTGGCTCCTCCCCGGCCAGCATGCTGCATGGTTTCTGGTCATGTCCATCCCTGCAATCTTTCTGGACCAGGTGCACACCCTCACCCACAAATACATCGACATTCAGATTCCCAAGTCACCCGCTTTCTATCTCCTCCATCACAACACGCAATCGCTGAAGGGATATAGAAGGTCTGTGATTATCCATATGATTAATGCCGCACGGGCCTGCATTCCAACCATGTGGAAGCAGACTTCCCCCCCCTACGATACAACTATGGCTTCGCAAAATACGAGATATTAGACACATGGAGGACCTGACAAGCTCTATCAAGGAGACAGGGACTCGTTTTCGCACACTACATGGTTCTGGTGGGATGAGTTTACCTCCACGCAAGAATACCGGGATCTTTCGGTTTAAG